TGACAACAACAACAACAACAAAGCAACAACAACAACAAACTCACTGTCGGATCAATAAACAAACAAATTAGAAACCGTGGCTCAAAACAAACGTTTATTTGTTTTATTGCTTTTCTCTTCGGGTTGTTTAATCATAATTTATTGATTCATCTTCAGTCAGAACAATTATCTTTCTGTTCATCAGTTCAATGACACACTTTCTCTCAAACAAACAAACAAACAAACAAACAAACAAACAGAGTATCTCCAACGTTGTCTTTTGTTTATTAAAACGTCAGTGGGGTCTAACTAACTAACTAACTAACTAACTAACTCATTCATTAATGAGTTAGTTAGCAGATTACAGTTAAAGGTCCGGTGTTGGCAGGTTGTCTACGGCGCCGTATCCCCTCGCTGCTTCACCCCTCCTCTGCCTCCGGTCTCGCTGACGCCCCCTGGAGGCAGAAACCACACAGTGCTTCCTGTGTGGAGTCCTTTCAGAGTAAAAGTCTCTTTTCAGGAGCGTTCAAGATTAAAAGCGTCTCTCAGTTCACAGAGTCTCTCAGTTGTAGCTGTATCCGGGCAGCGGCAGTTTCTGACCCTCTTTGGCCTCGAAGAAGGTGTAGGACAGCGTGATGGTGTCGACCCGGGCCATCCGCGGGTCCTCGTCGAACTCCGGGTCGATGTAGAAGAACACGGGCATGTCCACCTCCTCGTGAGGGTTCAGACGCTGCTCCTCGAAGCAGAAACACTGCGGAGAGACGACACAGATCAGTTTATCACCGCGTGGCTCTGAGGAGAACCCGGCGCCGGTCAACGCGGACTACCTGGATCTTGTTGAAGTACTGGCCCGCCTCGAAGGGAACCACGTTGTAGGTGGAGATGCCGATGATCGGCTGATCTGTCGGGTTCTTGGCTCGGTAGAACGCCAGCGCCGTCTCACCTGGAACCACCTGCAGCGACAAACACACCTCATCTAAAACCTCCGGGGACAGAACCGTCCTGGTTCCGGGTCTGAATCCGGACCAGAACAGTTCTGCTGTGTTCACTGACTGATCACAATAACGTGCAGCCAACAGATCCTCGTTTGAAATGAGGAAACAACGGCAGTAACTACGAAGTAACTGATTACTAATAACTGTCAGTAATAAAGTAATAGATTACATATTTTATATTAACAATCTGACGTAAACCAGATTCCTCCCGGGCGCGGCGGCGGCGTAAAGCCCGGTGGGATTTGGGGGTCGTGCTAACGGAACCGGGTCTTACAAAGATCTCCGTCTGCTGCGGTTTGAAGTTCCACTGCATGCTGGCGTGCCGGTCGGCGTTGAAGGTGACCTTGATGACGCGTTCCTTCACCGGCTTCATCGTCTCCACCTGATCTGCGTCGTGGCCGGCCACCGCCATGCCGCCGAGCCCCGACGCCTGGCAGTAGAGTCTGTAGAGCGGCACGGCGGCGTACGAGAGGCCGATCATGCCGACCCCGGCGGCGGCGATGTACGTCAGCACCGTCTTGTTCCTGGTCTTCCACTCCTCCTCCTGGCTCTTGGACTTCCGGTGTCGGCTCTTTATTCCTCGGCTCGGCGGGTGGAAGCGCGGCGGCGGGGGGAGCCGGCGCCGCAGGAAGTGTTCGGCCTGGGAGTCGAGCGTCCTCGCAGCGTCGCAGCGCGGCGTCCGGACGCAGCGCGTCAGCACCGCCTGAGGGCAGCAGAGGGACTGACGCACCAGGAAGTGGAGCAGCATGGCGGGTCGTCCTCACCTGAAGCTCAAACTCACCTGGAGGAAGATGAAACAGCATTAAAGTCTGCAGATCATCAATATCTGTATTTAACATCACACATTTAGCCTCTAAATATCAATTACACGGGACGAATAATCTCTCAAGAACATCCGACAGAAACGAACATCCTTGGCTTTAATGACGAAACAAACACGCCACCCGGCTCACTAACGTGTGACACAGCTCTTTTAAAACGGATATTTAGTTTTACCGACTCGATTAAAGTAAAAACTCTTTAATTCGGTTAACACTAACTAACACTAACTAACACTAACTAACACTAAACACTGACAGTCTGACACTTTAACAGTCTGACACTTTAACAGTCTTTGACCTCCGTCTGTGTGCTAGCGCTAGGGAGCTAACCGGGAGCTAACAGAACCGTTATGACTTCAGTTATTGATTAAAATCCTCGTTAATCGATTATTACCTTCAATAACGAGCTCTTCTGTCATTCACCTGCAGAAACACACACATAACGCCGGTGCAACACAGAACTAGCTCCGCTGTAAACACAGGCGGAAAGGTTCCGGTTCCGGTTCCGGTTTTAATAAATCTTATTAAAAAGTTAAACACAAATAAATCAGATATAAATGAGCTAATATCACTTAACACACAGAACTCTCTTTAATTTAAGCTGATTAAACCTTTTAAACAATAATAAATAATTAGATATTAAAGTTAACAACCTGTTTATATTAAATTAAATATATATATCTATATAATATATATCTATATATTATATAGATATATATATTATATAGATATAATATATAATGATATATATCATTATATCATAATATATGATACTATATATTATTTATGGGTACCCGCGATCATCATAATCAAAGCTGATTCCAAAAGTGGAGCAATAACAAAACCTCCTTCGTGGTCTTATTTTAAATGACTTCTAACTTATTTAAAGACTTGTATTCAAGTAAAATCACTAATGATTTATTTCACTCTTCTTCTTTGTATTATCTTTCTCCTGTATGTATTTCTCTGTGAGTTCTATACTTTAATATAATACTTGATGTTTTCACTTTGTCCTTTTTAGTTCATGTTTGTATCCACTAAAACTGTTATAAAATGTGTAATTTAACTGGTGACAATAAATGATCTGTCCCATTCAAGATTAATGAGACCAGAATAGAAATAATTTATTTGATATTTTCCATTACAAATTCCAGATATACAACCAACAAATTAAGAACTATAAATATAATCATACTCATTATCTAATCCAAAGATCAAATGTAACCGATTAATGACGAACAGGATCCACCACGTCTGCCGTCGTTAAAGTTTTCTCTCGGCGACCCCCAGTTCGCCGCGTGTCACGCATTACCCTCGGTCGGCGCCGCGCCGCCTGTTCATGCCTGTCCTTTGGACCGTGAACTGCGCGCTACCCGCCACAGCGAGAGCGCGCCGTCTGTCACCGCCACTCTCACGCACCACACGCAAGACCACATACATACTCTCTTCACCTTGGACCTCTCACCGCGCGCACCGCTCCGCGGGCCTTCTTCACACCACCCCACTGCATGTTGGGACCATGCAAAGCGGGAGAGCATGTGCAGCTCACCGGCGCCTCGCCCGCGTTACCAGCGCTCATGAGCAGGCTTTCGGGGCTTACACCACGGCTTGCTCTGCTCCAGGCACCTTGGCAGTGTACAGGAGGCTTGAACTGGCACCTATCATCCAGTTCTACCAGTCCACACTCCCATATGTTTGCCTAGTCCCTGTGGGACCTCTGAACCGGCGACCTCTGGCTATCCCAAGCCAAGTCCTACACACTGAGCCTACTTGCCGCCCCCTCAACTGCTGATTAAACCACTAATACGATATTAAATTATATTAACTATATAAAATATATTTATTGACTATTAATATATATCTTAAATTATATCATCTCATTTAAACTTATATTATATTCATACTCCTAAAATACTCCGCTGGCGGGGATCATTGCGGCGCGCATTTCCATTACTTTTCTTCACATTACTCTCGAATTATCATTGCCACTCTATCATATTACATTGCTATATACTTTATACTTCATCTATACCTTACTATATTAAATTATACCCTCACATTCCGCTCTAACCGCTCTATACACACATCATTAAATTATCATTCTCACACACTTTAGTAACTATATTAATATTAATAAATACTATTATACTATATTATACTTATTTTATACTATACTGATTATATTACTAATATCTATTTATATTATATTATTTATCTTATTCAATAATTATATTGTAATTATATTATATTAATCAATATACTATATATATACTATTATATTTTATTCATATGATTGTTTTTATAAACTTATACTCATATTATATTATACTATATATCAGTACTATAATCATATCATATTATATTACTTAATATTCATATTATATGGGGTATATCCCCCTCCTTATACTATCATTTAAATTCGTAGGTTAGTAACTTTATTATATGTGTATATGTCATTGTATTATATATTACTTTACTCCATATCTCAATGATTGTATTATATCATACTTTATATAATTGTCATTTATATTATCACTTCCCCAATAATCCTGCACCTCCATTCCGCCTTATTATCTCATCGCACTTCTACCTTGTTTCCTATTCAATTAAATTATATTAACTATTTGTATTAATATTATATTATATTTATTATATATATATACTAATATTATATTAACTATATTAATATTGTAATTATAGTATATTATATGATATTATATTAACTAATATTATATTATTATTTACCTTATGATCTTATTATAATATATACTAATATATATTGTATTACTATTATTATATTTATTGTAATATTATATTATATATATATATTTAATATTGATTATATTATAATTATTATATTCGTTATTTTATTATATTTATTGTATTATATTATATATATATATATACTTAATTGTTTATTTATATAATATTTATATTTATATTACTATATATTTGTATTATATTATATATACTATATTATATTTATACTTATTATATTGTAATATATTGTATTATATTATATTATATTGTTATATTATTATTAATTACTAATATTGGTACTCATATTGTATTTGTATTATATATATTATTATATTAATTACTCATTATATTGTATTTAATATATTATATATATTGTCTAATATTGGTTGTTTATATTAATACTCATCATTATATTAGCCCGGCAGTGTGTACTAATGAAGGAAATATCATTAAATTAAAAAGAGCCCAATTATAATACAAACCCCTACGGTGGTCGTGGGCGAGGTCAAAACGCGCCTTCCCCTCGTTCATCAGGGGCTGCCGCTGTAGTAATGGAGGGGGTGACGGTCGGCAGGTATTGAATGCGGATGTATCCTGAAACCGGCCGAGGCAAGGTTAAGAACTCCGCATAACGGTCCTTCCCTTGCCCTCCCGGAACGGTCGTCTCTCCCGACTCACTGTGTGTTTCTGTTCCGGCAGGGGAAGTTTCGAGTAATGCTGTGAAGTGGAGAGCGGTCGGTCCAAGGAGTGGCCTAACTGCTAACGGCTAACTGCAACGGTAATCGGCCTTAACGGCAATGTCAAACTGTTACTGCTGAATTCTAACTGTTACAGGCTAACGCTAACTGTTAGGCGTGCTAACTGCTATGCTAAACGTAATGCTAACGGCTCAATGCATATACGGAATCTGAAAACGAGACCAAAGATTACATCATGGAACCCTGTATTAAATATTATTATAACCGAATAACATACAACCCGCCGCTAAATTCATAAAACAAAGCTAAAGCTTAACTGTGAGCTGCAGCCTTACTGTAACGTTTATAACAACAAAATACCAGCTAGGTATGCTAGCTTA